GGCTTCCATTCCTTCAGCAAAACCTTTCAAGCGATTCACTAAGAAATATACTTCACCTTCGAATGTGTTCCAAAACGAATCCCTTCGAGAAGACCGTGGGTGCCGTTCCTGTAGCTTCGGTCTCTTCGGTGCTCCTTGGAGCTGAACTCAACCGGAACCCCCTATGGACGCGTGTGTTCGAAGGGAAACCGAAAGTGCCAAGAAATGACCCTTCTTCGTTCGCGAGCAAGAAAACCGGGGCCAGCTTTAAGGCTACTAGTAACAAGTGCATCGCTACTAGTAACAAGTGCCTTACTAGTAGTAACAAGAAGCGAACGTAGAAACAATATATAGAATTTAACTAAAATCTAATTGTTTGGGCCACCTTTGCTGATCAATCCCACACCGCAGCCATTCGCTTCATCGATCTGAGACACCCAGAGGAACAGGACGTATGGGGAGAGTCAGTCTGGTCATTACAAGCGCGCAAGAAAAATGGGCAGAAAAGGCATTGAGTCGCTGTGGCTTAGACATACTTAGACTCCAACTTCTTATTTGGCTTGATGAAGTCACTCACTTCACACGTAATGAATTAACGCGTTCGACACGTTTCAGCTGATGTCGAGGTTTCGATTTAGAAATACACCTCCAAAGAAGAGCACCCATGTCAGACACCGGAGCCCGTTTTGTGGGATCGGCCTTGGGAGCGGCCATCGCTGAAACGGTGGGAGACCGAGCCGTTTTGAACAGCCTCTTTGTCCAAGGTTGCCATGAAAAGACACTAGTCACTAGACACCAGTAGGAAATGATATATCAAATCACATGTTAAAAACAGAAATTGTGAATTGGGTGCCACCCAATGGAAAAGGAACACAGCAGGACAGAGCTTTTGGCATGAGCGGTTTCCAACTTTCCGCTTCGCCGCTCTCATGGTTCAACTTGGCCCGACAGGGGCCCCTTGAGCTTTGACACGTCACGCTACGCAAAAGAGTCGCATGCAGCTTTCACGTTCCACGTTGACACCTCGAGCGGTCACACGTGATAGGTATTCACTCCATACCTTTACATTGGTAGCGGAGCCGTCCAAAGTGACGGCTCCCACGCGCTGATGGCTGGACGCTCTCCCTCGCGAAGGGAAAACCCATCCTTCGCGGCAGCAGCTGGACAAGCCAATGGCGCTGGCGGAAGCCGGGACCTGAAGGACAACTTCGTGCCGCGCTTCGAGAACACCACGACTTCCTACAAGGAATGGCGGCGCCGGGTCCTTCTCTACGCCCGGAAGTTGGAAATTCAAGGTCGAAAGACCGAAGTGGCACTGAACGTGCTGTCGACCTTGGAAGGCTCCAGCTGGACTCAATGCGAAGACCTGGATTTGAAGGAGCTGGAGTCCGACGAAGGCCTCAACATTTTGTTGAAGCGCCTGGACCGCCAATGGTCCTACGACGACAAGGTCGAGATGCCGAACAACTTCGAGGCATTCTTCTTCAAGCTCAAGCGCCGACAGCACCAGACCCTCCTCGAGTACACCACTGAGTTCCACCAGGTGCTGCGCCAGGTGACCAAGCACAAGGTCGACCTCCCCGAAGAGGTTACAGGATGGATGCTGCTCAAACGAGCAGGTCTGACACGTGAACAAGAGCAAATGGTACAGACCCAGATTGGGTCGGTCCTGACCTTGGGCGCAGTTGAGCAGTCCCTCTTCCTGTTGTTCGGACAGGATTACCAACAGGTTCATGTTCCTCATCACCTCCGCCGACAGCAGCAGCAACTTCGATGGAAGAAACCCCAAGGCATTCACATGGCCTGGGACGATGAGGCTGAAGAGTTCTTCGAGGCTGAGGAGTCCTACTACATGGACGCTGATGAGGAAGGCGACCTCCAGGAACCTGACGAATGGTTTGAGCCCGAACTCCCTGATGGTACATTCTATGAGGAGACCATCGACGACACCGAGAACATCTATGACACAGAGGAGTTTGATGAGGTCTACTCCACCTACATTGATGCCAAACAAAGGCTCAACCAACTTCGCCAAAGCCGAGGATTCTACCCAGTGGTGGCAGTTGTTGATGGAAAAGGTCAAGCCCCACTAGTCGCTCAAAACCCAAAGGGCTCGGCAAAAGGTGGAAAGACCAAGAACAAGTCCAAGGGCAAGAACAGTGGTTCCAAAGGATCCTCAAAAGGTCCAACTGGCAAGAACCGAGCCAAGGCAGCTCTCACCTGCGGCAAAGCCGGACACTTTGCGGCCAACTGCCCATCCGTCCAGCAGACAGGCGGATCCTCTCCGAAGAGACGAGTGATCGACCTCGAAGACCCCATGATCAACATGGTCATGAACATCGAACACCACCCCGACGACATGGATGAGGGCGAGGTCACTGCGGACGAGGACATCTTCTACGACGTCGAAGACGCCTATGTGGAAGGTGAAGTGTTGGTTCGAGCCGGAGGCTGGTTGACGAACGAGCCGGACACCTGCATTCAAGACCAAGGCGCAAGCTCATTCTTGATTGGCTCGGAGTACGCCTTGCGCCACATCAAGTGGCTTGAGATGATTGGCTATCCCATGGACGAGCTCACCTTCAAGAGATGCGACAAGTCCTTCAAGTTCGGAGGCGACGCCTCCGGCCACTCACGATGGATGGTTGAGCTCCCGGTCAAGATTTCTGGCCATCCTGGACGCATCCAAGCCTACATCATCTACGGGGCCACGCCCATGCTCTTCGGCAGACCTCTGTTGGAAGCACTTCAGGCCGAGATCAACTTCGGCGAGTCCAAGATGAGACTACTTCATCAAGAATGGCAGGACATCCCTCGTGGCAGACAGGGCGCTATGCTTCTTCGCTTGGCAGCTGACGTCAAGCACCCCTGTGACTTCAAAGAGCCCGTCTTCGATTTCCGCTGTGAAGATGACCACGGCAGCGGAACCAGCCTGCACGAGTTTCTTGATGACCTCAACGCCCACGAGCGCTACTTTGAGATGACCACCGAGGTCAAAACCTACTTCTCGCTCCACGACCATGAAGAGACCTTCGCCATTGTTGAGGAAGATGTAACAGCCTCTTCTACCCGGCGAAGCTTGCAAGACCATCGAGCAACTTCAGAAGACAATGTCTTGGATTGAAGCCCAACTCCAGGAGACAGAGAAGCACGTACAGCAGGAGATTCTCCACACTCGTGACAGCGGACAACATCGCCGCCGCAAGCTGATCTGGGAAGTCTATGCCGGTGAAGGCAAGATCACGAGCCTCCTGCGATCTCATGGCGACGTTGATGTCATGAGGTTCGGTTTGGAAGAAGGTTGGGACTTCAACAAAGCCTCACACAGAAAGCAGCTGCTTCGATTGGCCGACGACTTGGAGCCAGACGAGATCTTCATGTCTCCCAAGTGCACCTTGTGGTCCAGGATGCAACAGATCAATGTCTCCAACGCTGAACAGGCCGCCGACTTGACTGAACGGCGCGAGATCGACGCCGAGACCCACCTCACCATGTGCAAGAAGCTCTACCTGAAGCAAGTTCGACGAGGAGCACACGCCCACATCGAGCACCCTCGCTTGAGCCTGGCCTGGGAGACCAAGCAGTTCAGGAACTTGCCTGGCCACAAGGCCATCTTCGACCAGTGCGCCTATGGAGCGACGATTCCTGATGACCACGGCATCGAACAGCCCATCTTGAAGACCACCCGCATCAACACCACCAAATGGGCGATGTTCGAGATCATGTCCAAGAGATGCGATGGTTCACATCAACATCAACGACTTGAAGGTCGCAACAGGTGCCACCGAGCTGAAAACTATCAAGATGAGATGGCAGCCCACTTGGTCAGAGCCCTCTTGTTGGATGAAGGCCTACATGAACAAGTATATGCAGTTTCTGAAGATGCCGCACCTCTCACAGGAGCACTTCGCAAGTTGGCCTCCAACCATGGGCATGAGGCAGCTCGGATCGCACAGCGACTTCATCGCAACCTTGGCCACCCACGGAAAGAAGTCTTGCTCCATGCCCTGAAGAGTCGGAACTGCAGCCCAAAAGTGCTGGCAGCTGTTCAGGATTTGGAATGTCCTTTCTGCGAGATTCACTCCGTGAAGAAAGGCAACGCACCAGGACACCTTGATAGACCCACAGAGTTCAACAGCCAACTTCAAGCCGATGTCCTCTGGCTTGACCTGGACGAGGTTGGCATGGTGATTGAACCTGGTCGCAAGAAGAACAAAACCCGCAAGATCGCCATCCTGGTCATGGTTGATGTCGCCACCTGCTTTATGGCAGCTCGCACCGTCATGGACGAAAAGGGCCCATCACTACAGAAAGCTTTGGAAAGAGCCTGGATCCAACATCATGGACCTCCAAAGCAGCTCTATGTGGATGAAGGTACTGGTTGGGCTTCTGACTCTACAATGCAGTGGTGCGAGTCCAACGACATCGAGATCCGCATCTCACCTGGTCAAGCTCACACCAGGACATCCATAGTGGAACGACGACACCAGATTGTGCGCAAAGCAGTTTCAATCTTCATGATGGAGAACAACCTCACAGGTTTGGATGGCGTGCACAGCGCACTATCTTGGGTGGTTCCAGCTCTCAACAGCAATAGCTTTGTCAATGGCTTCACGCCCACCCAGCTCGCTCTGGGTCGAGAACCTGCTCTTCCTGGACTGTTGACTGATGAACGAACAGGTCCATTGCAGTTGCAACTCACCGAGCAGGAGAAATTGCATCGAAAGCTCAACCTCAAGTTCGCCGCACAGAGTGCTTGTGGCAAAGCTGAGATCGACGTGAAACTTCGCCGAGCTCTACTCCGACGCTTTACTGGCAAGGACGAGGAGCTTCTTCCAGGCGAACGATGCTACTACTGGCGTGATGCTCCCGACAAGGCCCACATCATCCGCTGGAGAGGACCTGCGGTAGTGGTTGCTGTGGAACGCAACCCAGACTCAGGCACCGTCAGTGTCTACTGGCTCGCTCACGGCACTGTGCTCCTTCGTGCTGGAGTTCAACACGTCCGCAAGATGGTCAACGATGGTGGACAGATCGGAGCAGTGCAACGAGCTCAACAAGCCCTGGACGGCCTGAGACAAAGGAGATCCGTTCGCATCGTGGATTTGCGAAAGGCCAACAAGCGATCGATAGATGAGGTTGACCCTGAGGTCAGTGACTATGAGCCTTCGCTTCCAGATCCTCATCATCCCGCTCCGTTGACTATGTCCTCGCCTGCTCTACCTGATGGAGTTCAACAAGCCTTCGACCGCTCAATGCAGGAGGCAGTTCAGTCGAGAGCAGAGGCATTGCCAGCAGCAGAACCTCCAGAAGCAGAACCTCCGGATGTTCAGTCAGAGCCATCGCAGCTGGAACCTCAGTTGGAGGAACGTCAACCCCATGAGCGACATCCAGAACTTCCTGAACTGGATGACGATGACTTTGAGGAGCCTATGGGTGAACCTTCTCACCTCCAAACTCCGATGGCCAGGGCGGATCAACAAGACCCACGTCCCGATCCAGCAGATCTTCCTGTACCTGAAGATGATGATCTGAACTCTCCAAAGGCTGAACCAGCCGATGTGCCCGCACCTGAGGCATCATCTTCATCAGGTCCTATGACCGTTGACCCTCTCTATGCACCACCAGCTCATGAATCCTTTCAAGATCGACGCCGTCGCTTCGATCAGCAAGAGACGATTTGGACTCGTAAGAAAGCCCGGACAGATGATGGTGATGTGGACCTCAACCTCCCTACTTACAAACAACCACCGGCCTGACACTTCAGCAAGGTTCACGGACTATCTATGTCAACTCCAAGGAGCAGCAGCACTTCAGCGAAGCTTGGACAGGCAAGACCTTGCACCCCCTCACCGTCAGTGGTGCAGAGAAGACTGGTCTATACTACATCGGCGACCTCTCCGACAAGCTCAGCCGCTGCAAGACGCTCAGAGGCCGTGGACACATTTGGCAAGCAGTCGGTGCCGCTAGCCCCAAGAAGAAGAACGTCAAGGAGAGCGCAGACCTCAACGAGAAGAAAATGTCCCTGGAAGACCGTTTGGCCTTCTTGGAGGGCAAGAAGAATGAGCTCTCCAGCATCTTCGAGAATGGAGTCTGGGAGATCGAACTCGATCCACAATCTGTTGACCACAACACAGTCATGCCCGCTCGCTTCGTTCTCAAGTGGGCAGCTGATGGGAAAGGTGGCCTCAAGGCCAAGGCAAGACTGGTTCTTCAGGGATTTGCTGATCCCGACCTGCTGCAAGGTCAACTCGACACTTCATCACCCACTTTGTCAAGGAGCTCTCGCCAGGTGATCATCGCCATCTCCGAGGTGCTTTCCTGGGAGCGCTGGACTGCCGACGTTGCAACGGCATTCCTTCAGGGTGATCCTCAGCAGAGGATCTTGTGGGCCCGGATCCCCAAGGACGCTTGCGAGTTGATCGGCGTTCCTCCGGGCACCCTCATGCGCTTGATCAAGCCCCTCTACGGACAGGCTGATGCTCCAAGGCAGTGGTTTGCAGTGGCGAGACGCCGTTTACTGCAGTTGGGATTTCAATCCCATCCTTTGGATCAGTGCCTCTACATGTTCTTCGATGAGAACAAGGCCTTGACAGCTATGGTTGGCATCCACGTTGATGATCTATTTGGCTGTGGCCTAGCTTCATCGCCAACGTACCAGCAGCTCACCGACAGCCTCAAGACCTCCTTCAACTTCAAGCACTGGACCAAGGAAGGAGAACGACCTTTAGAGTTCTGCGGCTGTCAGCTGGCACGAACGGCCACCGAGTCAGTCATGACGCAGGCAGACTACCTCAAAGGCATCAAGCCCATGACCTGCGCCGACAATGATCCTGAGCGAGATCTCAACTCTCGCGAGCAGAGCTCACTTCGAGCGCTACTTGGAGCACTTCAATGGCCGGCAACTTCAGACCTCACCACACCTATGCGCCTCAGTGTCGCTTCTATGTGGAGAAGTCACTACATCCACGGTTGGTGTCGCCCAGCAAGCAAACAAGACCCTCCGCTTCGCCAAGAACAACAACGACGCTGGTTTGATCTTCAGATCATTGAGAGGTTCGCTGGACAACCTGTGCATGGTGGCGATGAGTGATGCCGCCTGGGGTGTGAGGAGAAACAATGAGAGCCAAGGAGGCTACTTGGTCCTTCTTTGCAACAAGGCCGTGCTCGATGACACCTCCGACCACGACTATATCATCCTGGATTGGAGGAGCTTCAAACTGCCAAGCGTCAGCAGATCCTCGCTGAATGCTGAGAGTCAAGCTTGCTCAGCAGCCATGGACGCCTTGGAGTACCTCCTCATCTTCTGGGAAGGATGCTTGAAGCACGACTTCCAGCTTCGACAGGTCAACGAGCTGAAGCCTTCTCTCTCCTCAGCTCGGGTGGTAGACGCCAAAGCCCTCTACGACAGCCTCAAAGCCGAGACACCCAGTCTCCAAGGAGACAAGCGGACGAAGATCGAGGTCATGGTCACAAAGCAGAAGATGCTCTGCATGGACACGAAGCTGCGCTGGGTCAGCTCAGAGATCCAGCTAGCTGACGGAGTCACCAAATCCTCAGCAAGGCAGCTGTTCGCCGACCGGTTGAGGAGTCACCAAATCTCCCTTCGGTCAGACATGACCTTCCAGGCCGCCAAGAAGAAGACTCTGGCTGAACGGCAGGCCAATGCTCGCAAACATGCGATCAGTCGATCAGGGAATCGACATAGCCTGGCCTACATGATCCTCACCTCACAGATGATGATGGTGCAAGCCATGCAGCCTAGCTTCGAGATGGCCCTGGACTTCGCCTTCTCTCCTGAGATGACCCTCACTCTCTTCATCCTACTGATGACCATGGTGGGATGGCACATGTGGGGAAGGGCTACAACGACAACTCCGACGACATTGAGGACAATGACAACGACAGAGACCTGGACGATGACAACAGAGATTCCAAGCTCTGGCACAAAGGAATGTGGCACCCAGGCGGAGACAGCCCTCGAGAAGAATGTGTTTGGCCTCCTCAAGATGGAGATCACACGACTTCAACAAGACCTACGGGATTCAGATGCCTACAACGCCCAGCTCAAAGACCAGCTCGACGCGCTGGAGGGCGAGAACAACGAATTGGAGAAGGAAGTGGACGACCTCACCCTGATAGGACTACCTGTCCGGTGACATCGGGGAGCTCAACGGCAAATACAAGGATGTGAGAATCAAATGGCAGACTGCCTATGACAAGCTGGAAGCCATCAAGTACGAGCTTGATCGCAACCCAGTGCCGAGGTCAGTGTGGACCACAAGAACAGGCAGCAAGTACCACATCTACCCGGACTGCCAAGGCCTTTCTGGGGCCGATGCTGGCACGATGAGGCAGTATGACTACTGCGCCTTCTGCGCCCAGCAGGAGATGATGAAGTGGCGAGAGTTCTGACGAGCTTCTTGGCCACAACCACCGGTGTGAATTGGGTGCCACCCAATGGAAAAGGAACACAGCAGGACAGAGCTTTTGGCATGAGCGGTTTCCAACTTTCCGCTTCGCCGCTCTCATGGTTCAACTTGGCCCGACAGGGGCCCCTTGAGCTTTGACACGTCACGCTACGCAAAAGAGTCGCATGCAGCTTTCACGTTCCACGTTGACACCTCGAGCGGTCACACGTGATAGGTATTCACTCCATACCTTTACAGAAATGCTATCAGACCCTGATAGACTTTCAGGACCTGCTTTAGAAGTGCAGACATGTTTGCAGGTCACCTTGCCCACGGATGTGGTGAAGGTCCGTCTCCAGGCAGATGGAGCAGAGCCACAACTGTTGCCGTTTGCGATAAGAGTCGGACCCATTTGTAACCCATTTGTAACTAAGACGCTACTAGCTTGGAGGCCATCGCTATTAGGTTGTAACCTATTTGTAGCTAAGACTTTAAGACTTGGACCTTGCAACTGTACGGCAAGGTAGCAGGGTAGCATCAAGATGCCATTCCAGGTCATCAGAGATTCTATCAGACTTTGCAATTTCACAACTCTTATTCACCTACTTCATTAGCACAACACACAGCTTTCATCCCGAGGTGCAATCCACTGGTCGCTACCGGGGCTTCGCTGACTGCCTGCAGCAGACGGCCCGGAATGAAGGCGTCCACGCGCTGTGGAAGGGCCTGACACCTGCCTTGGTGCGCCAGGCGGATGGAGAGATGTTCTATGTTGGCCCGCTCTGCGGCTTACTTGATTGAGTAGAGACTACCTACTTACTGAAGTAAGGGACAAACTTGTTCGCTCCTAGCTGCCACAGCGGATAGCTTCTAGGACGCAGGATAGCGGAATCTCGCACTTTTAGGGAAACTTGAGCTCGCTCACTGCAGTGGTCTGAAAATCCTGTCAAATCAGGTTTGGGACTTAACTACCCTTTTGTTAGAAGAGAGTGTGCCTAGACTTGTGACTGTCTTGTCAGAGGCAGATGTCGAGGATGATTCTCAGAGAACACATGGAAGCCTGTGTGTGCTGTGTACTTGCACTGCCCACGCCAGGTTTGCTACACTTCAATGTTCCTCGGCAGATAGGGGGATAGGGAGCATGAATGAGAATGCAGAGGTTCGGGAGATATGGGCAGTCAGAGGGTCAAAAGGCAGGAAGCGTCGAGAAACGAAATGGTATCTATGACCGCAGACTTAGACAGGACTTGGCTGAGAAATTGCCGCAGCTGCAGGTCCTTGGTGATTTATGAACCTATTCGTGGATTCTACGGTGAGCTGTTGGGTGGCAAGGACAAAGGTGCTTGCGCTAAAGTGAAGTGCAGTGTCGCGAAGCTTGTACTCTCTTACAGAAAAGGCAATGCCTTGGAGAAACTTCCAGAAACTAGAAACTATAGCAAACTGCTGGCTACTAGAAAGAGTATTTGGTTTGGTTGCTCACGGCATGATAACACTGCATGCTAGTAGCTTCTTCTTCCTAGGTAGCAATGCCCTTGTTACTAGTAGCGATGCCCTTGTTACTAGTAGCTTCTTGCTACTGCTGGTAATGCCCTTTGCTACTAGTAGCGTCCTTGCTACTAATAGCGATCCACCTAGTAGCTTCTAGCTACTAGTAGCTTCTTGCTCCTAGTAGCGATGCATGTTCATCGCAGCTGAAGATCCTTTGTTTCGCTGCGGTAGGGCCGAGCTATTTCCAGCGGCTTTGCGCTGGCGGCACGGCTGGAGCCCTGGCCATCTCCGTCTTCAATCCTGCAGAGGTCCCTCTGCGAGTGTGTTGCTTTTTCCGTTTGAAGCTCAGCATAAAGCTTAGTGAAGCTCGGAGCTAGGAAGAACTCAGTATATAGTCCGTTGTTTTCTTTATGTTCCTTTTTTAGCCCATGACCTGCTCCCCTACTACTTAATGAAGTAGGCGCAAGTACTTAGCTACTAGTAAGAGGACACATCATAGCTCACGAAGCGCTCGCACTATTCATTGGGTTCTGAGATTTCTAGGGAAACTTAACAAATGAATCTGAACTAGCTAAGTGTAGCTAGTAACAAGATGCAGCGCTAGTAACAAGGACGCTACGAACGTAGCTAGCCGAGCCACCCTCGACAGTGCGCACATTCCCTGGGCTCCCGGGACCAGAAGCCGGTGTTCGACGCAGTGCAGGTGGTGAAGACCCAGGTGCAGCGCCTTTGAGCGAAAATCAGATGGGTTTGAGGAGAAACGTGACGTGACGTTGTTTCTTTTGGCCACTCCCTAAGTCCTACTTACCTACTTAATTTAGTAGGCGCCTACTTCCTGACGTAAGGGAGTAGTTCGCTACTAAGCTACTAGCAATAGGAAGCTCTCAGCTAGGACGCAGGGTACCTCACGCACTAATGATTTGGTTCCTAGATTTGAGTAGTAGGTAAGCTCAGTGCTTTGAAGATGCTTGAAGGTGAGGATGGAGGAAGTGCATACAGATCTGCGAATTGATCTGCTTGGAACTGTCTAAAGCTTGATGAATGTAACTTTTAGGGACCCTCGTTCCTTGGTAAGTGTAAACTGATGTATCACGATGGACCCTCATTCAGCACTTTTAAACGTCTTCTCTCATCTAGGCCACTTTGAAGTTTCTCATAGAAACACAGCACCATGGTCATATTTCATGAGTGAAGAAATAGATTGCTAGATCTATATATACAATTGGCAATTGCTGTTGTGTGAAATTGGAGCTGGGGGTGTGGTAGTGTGCCTCAAAGATGCTTTACCGGAGCAGAGAGGTTTTGGGTATAGATGCTTTTCTGCCTCATACGGGAACAGAAGATAGTACATGTTCATTGCAGCATTCACATAGCTTGGTGTTGCCAACGTTGTATTTTCAGACGTCTCTACTGTACTCACAAGACAGGATACATTAGTCCAGAAAAGGGATGGTGAGGGCTCTGAAGTTTTTTGAAAAAATATAACGAAGCATGGCGGCTGAAATTCTCCTAAGTTGAAGTGTTCAAATGTTTACCTAATTGTTTGACGATGTCTCATGTTGTCCATTGCTATTAGGGTGGAGGCCATCGCTAGTAGGTTGGAGGCCACCGCTAGCAGGATGGAAACCATTGCTATTAGGGGTCTTTTCTCATATTTCTGACCTTCGGCGAAACTTTGAGGACACACGTGGGAGCCAACATTACCATGCGAGAGGTGGCCTCACGAGTCTGGGTGCAAGATGGCCTTCTTGGCTTTTGGGCAGGCGACAGAGGGCGAGGAATCGTGTTATTTGGCACTTCTCAAGCCGTAAGTTTGAGCCTTACTACTAGGAACAATGTTCGCTACTAGAGGCTCCTGGCATCGCTACTAGGAGCAAGGACGCTACTAGGAGCTCCTGGCCTTACTACTAGGAACAAGAAACCATTAGTTTCGACCTACAATAGGTCTTCTTTAGGCCTGCGCCCCAAAGTACTGCAGACCAAAGCGACGGCCATGGCTCCTTCTGGGGTATGGCGCGTGTGCTGCAAGCCCACCCAGATATGCCATTGCGTATCTTCTCCCCAAAGGGCCAAAGCGCTTCCGAATACGACAAGTTGACAAGCTAGGTTGGAGGCCATCGCTACTAGGTTCGAGGCCATCGCTACTAGTAGCAAGAAGCTACTAGTAACAAGGGCATTACTACTAGGAACAAGAAACTGCTAGGGTGGAGGCTAGACATGTGAACTCTCGAAGCCTGAAGAGTTTGAGGAAGAAACGATCTGACAGACCGTCTGACGCAAACCTCCGGGCGTGAGCGATGGCCTCCAACCTACTAGCGATGGCCTCCATCCTAGTAGCGATTCCCTCCACCCTAAGAGCGATGGTCTCCAACATAGAACAAGAGGTCCCTATGAATTCGAAGCTTCTTTCTTCCAGAAGGTCCTATTGTAAGCAGTCGGAGGAGTCCAGCATTCTTCCGCAAGTGTAGCCTCTATCTAGGAGTCACCGTGAGGGTTTTTCTCCAACAAGTGTTTTGCTCGAGATAGGAGAAGCTTCTGTCGAATCAGCATGCCTTGGGCCCCAAAAGAAGTTCTGTCGACCAACAAAAAACCGTTCGCGCTAGTTTCGACGAAAAACCGACGCCCCAAGTAAGGAAAGACATGTGACGTGTGCGTCCGTTGCACAGGCCTTGGGCCCAACGTGGCCCGGACCTTCCTGGTGAACGCCGCGGAGTTGGGCACCTACGACGAAGCCAAGAGCCATTTAGTGCCCGTGCTGGGCGATGGTTTCTTCGCTCACGTCCGGCACCCAGAGCCGCAGCTGCGGCACGTAGAAAGCAACACACGAAGAAACAAAAGCTGAAAGTGGCTGCGAAGCTCAAGAAAAGTCTTCAATTCTTGGAAGCTGTGAATCTTTTCAAGTAGCTGAGATGAACCTGATGAAAACTGGGAGGCTCTCATTCTTGTATTGAAACTAGACGACGAGTGGCCCGAAAGCATTTTT